TCTCTCCCTCTCTTTCACTCTCTCTCTCACCATTTTATTTCATGTGTCTCTGGTGCGTGTGTGTGTATGTGTGTGTGTGAGAGTATGTGTGTGCTTCAAGGAGGGGACACTCGAGATAAGAGATAATACGATGTGGAACAAACAGTGTTTCTCACAATAAAAAAGACGGGGTCTTATATTTTTTTTGCTCAGAAAGAGATCTTAGAGCTTATGTTGGAGAATGTTTTTTTTTTTTTTTTTTATGTACAAAAATCTGCGTTGGTTCAAGTACACAAATCTACGTGTATTTAAATGCAAAAAATCTGCATATGTTCAAGTACAAAAATACAGATTTATTCAAGTGTGAAATTCTGTATTTATTCAAGGATTTATACCAGGTAACTTTATTAGACCAGGCTAGGGCTGTATGTCATAGAATAAAGAACATCCTGTGCAACAGGTCCCTCTCTTTGGATGTCCCAAATAAAGAACTAAAACTTTATGTAGAACCTGTATTGCTGTATGGTAGGGAATCATTGCCTGTGAATGCACAAATGAGAAAGAACTTGGAAACGACAGAGATGTGGTTCCTCAGACGAATGTTGAGAATCGCTCGGACTGCCAGAGTAACTAACGAGGATTGCTTGAAGGAAGCTAATGAAAGCAGATCAATATATACAGCTATAAGGAACACACAAGCATTGTTCTATCTTTATGTGATGATGTTTGGGGGGGGGGGGGGCTTTGGAGAATATTTTGACGACTGGAAAGATTAACGGTTGTAGAAGGAGAGGGAGACCGAGAGAAAAGATAACAGATGATTTGCCAATGTGGCACACAGGGATATCATCAGTGGAACTGATCCAGAGGACATAGGACCGAGATTTCAGTAGATGCATCATCGCCTACGCTAGGAAGGGCACGTGATGATGATGACATTTATTAATTTATAATTCAATACATCCTTCGTGTGATCCACGAACGAAAGAAACGCATCCATATGTCTGACGACCAACACTAGGGCTTCTATCTGTTGTAGGCATCTATGTTTCCAGTATCCTGAAAAATCATCATAATGCTTTATTCGTGTGAGGCCAAATTTTCGGGGCAAGCCGGTCTCAGGGAAATGTCAGATAAGGAGCAACTCATTTAGAACAGGTACAGAAGAACAAGTGTAGCAGACACGCATCATCATCATGTGTCCTGCCAACTGGCGTAGGCGCTCATGCGTCTCCAAAGATCACGATCCCTGGCTGCCTAGAACAGCTTTCTTGATGATATTCCTCCATGCCATCGTTTCAGCCCATCCAGCATCATCTCTCTTGGTCTGCCTCTACCCCTTTTTGCCACTGATCTTTCCAGTTGTCACGATCTTCTGCAATGTCTGTCTTCGCATTATGTGGCCAAAGAACAGTGTTTGTCTCTTTCTTATTGGTGTATATAGAGATTACTTTCATTAGCTTCTTTCAAGTAATCGTTGTTATTTACTCTGGCCGTCCAAGGTTTTTGTAACATTCGTCTCAAAAACCACATCTCTGTTGCTTCCAAATTCTTCCTCATTTGTTCACTGACGTTCCAGGATTCGCTGCCATACAGCAAAACAGGTTCTATGTAACATTTTAGCACCTTCTTTCTGACATTAACTTGTTTCTGACGTTTATTGCATAATATATTTTTCATTTTCTGAAATGTAGCTTTGGCTTCACTATTCTGCTTTAATCTCTGTCACACATTCTCCATCTGATGATATGATTGTTCCCAGATATTTGAACTTATTGACTTGGTAAAGTCTTTTTTCCTTTAATTGATATCACAATGTGGAGTTATCTTCTTCTTTGATATAACCATTACTTCCGTTTTCTTAATATTCAATGAAAGTCCTTTCTTAGCACCCTCTATCTCCACAATATCCAGCAGTTGTTGTAAATCAGTTGCTTTTTCAGCTATCAAAATTGTATCGTCCAACTCTTACTCCTGCATTCTTTTTAATTTCCCTCAACATTATTTCACTATATAGAGAGAAAAGGTCTGGCGATAAGACACATCCCTGTCTTACTCCTTGCTTTATTTGTTTAAAAGTACTCGATCGGTTTCCCACTTTAATTGCTGCAACTTGGTTCCAGTAAATGTTTTTAATTATTATGAGATCTTTCCCGCCAACATTGATGTCTTCCACCATTTTTATCATCTTTTAATGTTTAACTTTGTCAAATGCTTTGGTATAATCTATAAAGCACAAATATAAGTCCTTTTCTGTGTCCATTGATTTTTCTATCAGTGTTCGTAATATATATACAACATTACTTGTCCCTTTACCTTCCATAAATCGCATTTCCATTCTTATTTTTCTTTTTGTTCTCCTCATTATAATTCTAAGCAGTAATTTGGTGACATGATTTAATAAGTTGATTGTACGAAATTCTTCACACTCAATTGCTCCTGGTCTTTTAGGTAACGCAATAAATACAGATTTCATCAGATCACTTGGAATGTAACAAGTGTTATAAATGTCATTCAACAGTTTAGTTAATATTTCTACCCCAAATTTCCCCAGTACTTCTAATTCTTCTACAGAAATGACATCTGGCCCAGTTGACTCTTCCTTCTTTATATGTTTAAAAGCATCGCTAACTTCTTTCTTTAATATCTACGGGACTTCTAAATTTCTTTCTTCTGGTAATTCTGCTCTCTTTCCATCATATAAATCTCTTATGTATTTATTTCATCTAGTTATTATATCATCTTCCTCCATTAAGATCTCTCCTGCTTTTGATTCCAGACATCCTGTGTTTACTCGTATCTTTCTTTTAGTTAGAGCGTTAATTTGTTTATGCACACTTTTGGCATCTTCAACACGACAGTGTTCAATGTTATTGCATTGTTCATTTAACCACTCTTCTTTTGCCTTCATACACTTATGCCTGATTTCTTTTTTTTTTTTTTTTTTATCTTTTCATATTCTTCTTTGTCATTCATACATTGTTTTCTGTCACTAATTAACTTTAAAATTTCTTTGGTCATCCATTTCTGTTTAGCTATTTGCTTCTTTCTAGTAAAATCTCTTTGTTTGTTTGATGAATAGACTCTTTCAGCATTTCCCACTGATCGTTTATCGTTTATATTTTGGTATTGCGTTGTACCTGTTCCTCACAATCTTTCTTTATAGCTGGTGAATGTTTATATCCTGTCTTAGAATATCTTTGTGTAGTCTACAGTTTTTCATCTCTTTCTTTCCCCTCTTGAGTCGTACATTTAATTGTCCACATAATAGGACTTGGTCACTGTTACAGTCAGAACTAGGTCTTATCTTCACAGTTGTTAGAGCATTTCTAAACCTTTTGTTAATTAGTATATATTCTATTTGATTTAATGTTTTTGTTTTTTTAATCTGGATATCGTCTCCGATGTTGTTTGAACCAGCTGTTTCCTTTTAATCATCATTTATTAGACACGCATTTAAACAACATATACAGACAGACAGACAGACAGACAGACAGACAGACAGACAGACAGACAGACAGACAGACAGACAGACAGACAGACAGACAGACAGACAGACAGACAGACAGACAGACAGACAGACAGACAGACAGACAGACAGGACAGACAGACAGACAGACAGACAGACAGACAGACAGACAGACAGACAGACAGACAGACAGACAGACAGACAGACAGACAGACAGACAGACAGACAGACAGACAGACAGACAGACAGACAGACAGACAGACAGACAGACAGACAGACAGACTGCCAATTTTGTAATGATCACGTGTGTTTCCTCTTTATTCACAGAGACAAAAAGTTTCTATTTTTCTTCGACATTTCTGTCTGCGGACGGATGGGACCCGGTGTATTTGTCAAGGGCTGCCCTACCCCTCAGGTAGCTCTAGTTCTAGACATGGTTGTGTAGGTAATGTTTAGCGAGATTGCCTAACCTACTAGAGGCTACCTGTTCGGATCCTTATTAAGGCCTTGATGTTTCTGCTTAACTTTTTTAATAGCAAGCAGAAGTTACAACTCATATTCTAATTATTTGTTGTTTTAACTTTTCCTTTTTCGGGTAGGAGTTAAAATATTAGCACTGTCCGAAATGAGATATTTCGAAAGAAATGGGACAAAGTGGGTGGGTGTAAAGCCAGGATGATCATAAACATTTCAGAAAATATATCATGCAAGCTGAAACCCACAAACGTACAGTGAGTTAACTGGTACTAAATAAGTTAATTCTGAGATCAATCTTGTCACAATATTTTCCATGGTACTTGGAAATGTGGTTGGGGGAGGGGGAAGGATAGGTGGGGGGAGGTGAACTGGCGTGACATTGATCATATTCCTCGTTAAGTAGTTTCTTTCGACTCACAATTAGAAGAAAGGTGGCGTTATTTAGTCCGTCTGTCTCAAGGTGTACAAAAGTCTCCTTTTTCTTCCTATACTTTGCTCTCCTGTCTCTCCAGATTTGGGTCAAAATGAGGTTGTACCTGTCAGTGTTTTTTATTGTCTATCTTCCATCAGCCTCCTTGTTCTGTTTGTAAATCCATGTATCGCCTTCCCCATCTACATAGAGCAATTAGTTCCATCTATCATTCCTGCGTTCATCCGTGATTTCGTAACTTCTCCGTTCTTCTGTCTATTACTCAAACTGTCTGTCATCTAACAATGACAAGTTTATCCTTCCACCCACCAATTATACAAACAAAATGATTTAACGATTGATAGCTTCCTGTTGTCACCTGATGTCACATGTTGTTACCTGGTGTCACATGATGTCACCTGATGTCACCAGTTGTTACATGTTGTCAAATGATGTCCCTTGCTGTCATCTGATGCCACATGTTGTCACCTGATGTCACCTGTTGTCGCTTGATGTCACCTTTTGTCACTTGATGTCACCCGATGAAGCCTGTTGTCACTTGTCACCTGATGTCACCTGTTGTCGTCTGATGTCACTTGCTGTCATCTGTTGTCACCTGGTGTCACCTGATGTCACCTGTTCCCACTTGTCGCCTCATGTCACCAGGTTTGTGTCAAGGAATGCCCAACAACTGACTACGTCTTCCTCAAGGCAACCAAGCAGCAGTTATTGTGTAAGGAAGGTGTTGACTTGGCTACAAGCAAGGTAAACAGTGAGCTTACCTTTGTACATATACCTAACGAGACCACTTAAGGTCACTTTGTAACATCAATGTGCTCGATAAACTGGCTAGAAATCTTGGTGGTATGAGAGTAGTTGCTGTCTAATTGAATTCAGTTATTTCACCAGTTCAACCCTGAGACGTCTTTTTCTATAATGTCAATTCATCCTCTGTGGGTTGGCCCCAGCCATTGGTCTTCTTTTCAAAACATATGTCATAGGTGAAGGACCTTTTTCCCCACACCCTTCAGGCGGATTGAGTATATAGGGCTAGAGACTGCAACTACACGGACATGTTGGATAAGAATAGAGATCAGAGACTGCAACTACACGGACATGTTGGACAAGTAGAGAGATAGAGACTGCAACTACACGGACATGTTGGACAAGTAGAGATAGAGACTGCAACTACACGGACATGTTGGACAAGTAGAGATAGAGACTGCAACTACACGGACATGTTGGACAAGTAGAGATAGAGACTGCAACTACACGGACATGTTGGACAAGTAGAGATAGAGACTGCAACTACACGGACATGTTGGACAAGTAGAGATAGAGACTGCAACTACACGGACATGTTGGACAAGTAAAGATAGAGACTGAAACTACACGGACATGTTGGTCAGATAGAGACTGCAACTACACGGACATGTTGGACAAGTAGAGACTGACACTACACGGTAGAGATAGAGATTGTAACTACACGGTTATGTTGGACAAGTAGAGATAGAGACTGTAACTACACGGTTATGTTGGTCAACTAGAGATAGAGACTGTAACTACACGGACATGTTGGTCAAGTAAAGATAGAGACTACAAATATACGGACATGTTGGTCAACTAGAGATAGAGACTGCAACTACACGGTTATGTTGGCCAAGTAGAGATAGAGATTGTAACTACACGGTTATGTTGGACAAGTAGAGATAGAGACTGTAACTACACGGTTATGTTGGTCAACTAGAGATAGAGACTGCAACTACACGGATATGTTGGTCAATTAGAGATAGAGACTGCAACTACACGGTTATGGTGGTCAACTAGAGATAGAGACTGTAACTACACGGACATGTTGGTCAAGTAAAGATAGAGACTGCAACTACACGGACATGTTGGTCAAGTAGAGATAGAGACTGTAACTACACGGACATGTTGGTAAAGTAGATATAGAGACTGCAAGTACACGGACATGTTGGTCAACTAGAGACAGAGACTGCAACTACACGGACATGTTGGTCAAGTAGAGATAGAAACTGTAACTACACGGACATGTTGGTCAACTAGAGATAGAGACTGCAACTACACGGACATGTTGGTCAACTAGAGATAGAGACTGCAACTACACGGTTATGTTGGCCAACTAGAGATAGAGACTGCAACTACACGGACATGTTGGTCAAGTAGAGATAGAGACTGCAACTACACGGACATGTTGGACAAGTAGAGATAGAGACTACAACTACACGGACATGTTGGTCAACTAGAGATAGAGACTACAACTACACGGACATGTTGGTCAACTAGAGATAGAGACTACAACTACACGGACATGTTGGACAAGTAGAGACAGAGACTACAACTACACGGACATGTTGGACAAGTAGACATAGAGACTGCAACTACACGGACATGTTGGTCAACTAGAGATAGAGACTACAACTACACGGACATGTTGGTCAACTAGAGATAGAGACTACAACTACACGGACATGTTGGACAAGTAGAGGCAGGTCTCCTTTAGTGCCACACTCAATTAATATTCAGAATGGTTACTGTGGGTTAACAACAAACTACAGCTGAATGAGTCTCTTTCACTATCTTTCACTTTTACTATGTAATGAGGATAATTTCCAGGAAGGTTCAAAGGGTTTCCTGATATCGCCTAGTGGTATTATATGTCAGTGAGAAACGGGTAAAGCAATAGAAGTGATACTCACGTGTGACACTGAACAGTTACAAGACCAAATATTGTGGGAAGGGAACAAGGGTTTTGTAGGACACATGAGACAATTGTTGGACAAATAAAGTAGTAGGCAGTTGTTGGTTGGCCGTGTGAGAGGCAAGTGGTTTCGTATGGAATGGCTTGAGTAAACGTCGACTGTGAGCTGAGGGAACGAGGATTAGGAACGCCAGGAAAATCTGAAGAGAATTGTTTCTGAATCGTGATGCCCAGTAACTGTGAACTTTGTGGTGCTGTGATCTGGATGTGAAATCCCTGCGTAAATGAACTATTCGTACTGAAAGGCGATGACATCTCTTGTCTAGTTGTAATCCTGTCGTAGCCTGTCAGTCGGGAGTAAGTTGTGAAAGACCACGAAGAGTTTAGGACAACGACGGAATGACTCTGTCTGATTGACTACAACAAACTGTGTTAACGTTATCCTCGTGTTTTGACTACATTTGCGTGTCGATATTTTACATGATAACGGAGGAGGTAGAGAGTTGACATCAGCCCACACCGAGCCAGAGAAACATAGTTGCACACTCTTTTCCTTTTTGTGTTCAATGATACTTTTAAGTGCTTGTGACAGTCGCTGTCCTTGTATAGTGCAAACTACAAATCTTGATCGAAATAGGCCTTAAATCGTCTTCTTTTGTCCAACACAGACTGTTACACAGCTGGTCAATGACAAGGACTGTGCTCCCTACGCTTTCAAGAGTACTGCAGGTAATTCTTCTTACACTCATGTCATACGGAAGGTAATTTTTCTAACATTCACGTCATGGGGAAGGTAATTGTTGTACTCACGTCATAGGACAGGTAATTCTAACACTCATGTCATAGGACAGGTAATTCTTACACTCATGTCATACGATAGGTAAGTCTTGTAATCATGTCATGGGGCAGGTAATTCTTACACTCATGTCATAGGACGGGTTATTCTTACACTCATGTCATAGGACGGGTAATTCTTACACTCATGTCATACGATAGGTAAGTCTCACACTCATGTCATACGATAGGTAAGTCTTGTAATCATGTCATGGGGCAGGTAATTCTTACACTCATGTCATACGATAGGTAAGTCTTGTAATCATGTCATGGGGCAGGTAATTCCTGTGCTAACGCGATAGGACAGGTAATTTTTGCACCAACGACATAGGGAAGGTAATTCTTGCACTCACGTCATAGGGAAGATAATTTTCTTCTTTCTTCTTCTTCTTCTTCTTCTTCTTCTTCTTCTTCTTCTTCTTCTTCTTCTTCTTCTTCTTCTTCTTCTTCTTCTTCTTCTTCTTCTTCTTATTCTTCTTCTTCTTCTTCTTCTTCTTCTTCTTCTTTCTTCTTCTTCTTCTTCTTCTTCTTCTTCTTCTTCTTCTTCTTCTTCTTCTTCTTCTTCTTCTTCTTCTTTTTCTTCTTCTTCTTCATAATCTTCGCATTATCATCAACATCATTTTTTTTTCTTGTTTGTTTGTTTTAGTATCCAGAAGCCATGAGTTTTTAACCCTTAGGTTCGGTAATATGGATATCGCAACCTTTCAGTCTTGATTCTATTGTAAATACCGTAAATCTGGGAGAAATTTGGCTTTTCTGCCTACCCCCGGGAGTAAACCCGGACCACAAAGAGTTCGTCACCTGGTCACCTCCCAATCCGGTTTGGTCAACTACGCTAGAGAGCCGGGCATATTTTTTTTTCTGCAAGAGTTGTCTTCACAGGAAGATCAGATTTCGATCTGCATCTAACCGAGTTTGATGGCGTTGTCGGAGGTCAACATATTTCAGGTGAAGTTTATAATCGTGAAACATAATGGTAAGGATTGTTTCTCATGTTTTTATGATCGACAACGTTGAGCTGATACTCTTGATCTTCTCCCCCCCCCCCCTCCCCCAAAACTGTCGACAGTTGTCAACCGATGCCTGCCCATCTCCCACGTCCTGGACGCAGCTGGACTGGTCATCGAGATAAGCAACCAAACGCTTAATGACTCTGCCTCCATCAAAGACGGACTCGAGTAAGTCGTTTGTGTCTGGCCAATTGGTTTAGGTTTTCTTCTTTTTCTTCTTGGCGTTCACCAGCGGTAACCATGTATGTTAGCTGTTAATTTGTTGCCGTAATAATATTGCACTACAATACATTGTCATAGCTGTTTGAACGAGCTATATCAATCCTGTCCTGGTATACCGAAGGGAATCACTGTCGATTAGTGAAAATGTATGTAGGAGAGATGGGGAAGGGGTTTTATCAACTACTGATGGAAAATACTGGACGGATAAAAGGAGTAATGACGATGTCTTGAAAGAAACATACTGGCGAAGAGAACTGACTGTCCACATCAGAAAGAGACAATCATCATTCTTTGATCATGTGATGAGAAGGAGAGCACTTGGGTACATCCTGATGGCTGGAAAGTTGGAGACGGAAAGAAGCAAAGGGAGACAGACAGAGAAAGAGAGAGAGAGGGGAGAGACGAGGGAAACAGAGAGAGAGAGAGAGAGAGAGAGAGGGAGGGAGGCATAGCGAGACAGAGAGAGAGACAGAGGGGGGAGACGAGGGAAACAGATAGAGAAAGGGAGGGAGGCAGAGCGAGACAGAGAGAGAGAGAGGGGGGGGGGAGACAGAGAACATCTTGGACTATTGACATCGCGGTTGAAAGATCATTTATGTCAGA